TAAACATCAAAATTGTTGATTTTCGAAAATTAACTCAATCATAACTCATAAACTAAAAGCGATGGGGAAATACTTTTTATACATAAAGCCTTAGTAATGGACAATAAAGACTAGATCCATAAAAAGATTGAACTCAATTATCACCATTTTTTATTTATAAGTTCTAAATCGATTAAACATTAAAATTGTTGATTTTTGAAAATTAATTCAATCATAACTCAAAAACTAAAAGCGATGGAGAATAACTTTTTATACATAAAACCTTAATAATGGGCCATAAAGACTAAATCCATAACAAGATTGAACCCAATTATTACCATTTTTTATTTATAAGCTCTAAATCGATTAAACATCAAAATTGTTGATTTTCGAAAATTAACTCAATCATAACTCAAAAACTAAAAGCGATGGGGAAATACTTTTTATACATAAAGCCTTAGTAATGGACCATAAAGACTAGATCCATAAAAAGATTGAACTCAATTATTACCATTTTTTATTTATAAGTTCCAAATCGATTAAACATTAGAATTGTTGATTTTCGAAAATTAACTCAATTTTACTAAAAAACTAAGAGCGATGGGGAAATATTTTTTATACATAAAACCTTAGTAATGGGCGATAAAGACTAGATCCATAACAAGATTGGACCCAATTATTACCATTTTTTATTTATAAGCTCTAAATCGATTAAACATCAAAATTGTTGATTTTCGAAAATTAACTCAATCATAACTCAAAAACTAAAAGCGATGGGGAAATACTTTTTATACATAAAACCTTAGTAATGGGCCATAAAGACTAAATCCATAACAAGATTAAACCCAATTATTACTATTTTTTATTTATAAGCTCTAAATCGATTAAACATTAAAATTGTTGATTTTCGAAAATTAACTCAATTTTACTTAAAAACTAAAAGCGATGGGGAAATACTTTTTATACATAAAACCTTAGTAATGGGCTATAAAGACTAGATCCATAACAAGATTGAACCCAAGTATTACCATTTTTTATTTATAAACTCTAAATCGATTAAACATCAAAATTTTTTATCTACAATATTTGATCAGAATTAAATTATGCACAACTTTTATCCATGAAATTTTTTAAAATACCAAAATTTTAATTTCCCTCTGAACAGTAAGGTTCTACATATCTCAGTAATTCTAAATCCCTGTATATATTTAATTTAAAACAATATTTGAAAACAAATTTTTCCCAAAATCTAATTTTACGGTTCTTTGTTCCCTCTTTGAGGCAAAAATACGTTTTAACCCATTTAATCCGAGAAACACGACTCGTATTTTCTCGGAAGCAATTAGAGTTATGGCAAAAGCTTACTTGAAAAGTGCTTAAACAGGTAAAAAAGGCGCTAGTTAAAGGTGGGGTGTTTTGTACCTGTTTTGCTTACACCCCCTCTTTTTTTTAAGATAAAATCTTTGCATCAGTTGTAATTTTGAACCGTTTCGGTCAACATTTAAGTGCTATTTTATTTAAAACGGATGAATTAATTCGTTTTTATTAAAATTAATTAAATAATAAAATGGTGAGTTCACACATATATTAGATTATTAATTTAATTTAATTCTTTATTTTTGATTTAGAAATAAAAAATGTTATTATTCACGTTTTATTGTCTCCTACTTTACTCGCAATTCGCCGATATCCAAGCTTTTAATGTTATGGACGGGGATTTGGTGACGTTTTTGGAGTCGAAGAAGAAAGCTAAAAATGCTAAAAAATTGAAATTCTTCGACGATGACCAAGTTTTGGTTGAAATAATGTTGAGAAATGGGAAAGAAAATTTGATGGTTAATCCGAGAAGTAATCGATTTGGGGCGAATAACGTTAAATTGTTTCAACCAATTGGTGAGATTATTTATTTATTTATTTATTATAAAAGTTGATTTAATTTATTTTTTTTAGAATCGGTTAAAATCAATCAAAAATCTTTCGAGTATCGCTTCCAAATCAAATTACCCCACGATGAAGAAACATTAGAGGGGACCCAATTAATATTTAAAACCCAAGAGGATCAATTTCAATCCCAAAAAGATCAAAGATTAACCATCGCGGAAATCATCAAAAAAATCGAGAACGAATCAATCACTAACATTTTAGACACGAAATTAATTAACCCAAATAAGAATCAAAGTGTTAGTTTCGACGTTGAATCTGCAACAAGAAAGCTAATTCTCAAAAATCGAGGATACCAAAACTTAATTTTTTGTTTAACCTTAACAGATGTTTCAAGAATTTCACCCCCAATTTTATTAATTTATCTCACTAAGATATTAAACGATCAAAATCGTTTTAAATCGGTTAAAACTCTCGGTTTGAAACGACGGCGTCATCTAACAACCGATCAACGTTTGTGTAGGCGCCATAAAATGTATGTTGATTTCGATGATTTGGGTTGGAACGATTGGATTATAGCCCCAACGGGGTACAACGCGTATTATTGCGGGGGTGATTGCGATTTACCATATACGAGTGAAGTTAACGCCACAAATCACGCGGTTGTGCAATCGATGGCGCATTTATTTGATCCTGAAAATGTACCGAAACCTTGTTGTGTTCCAACGAAACTCAACAGCATCTCTTTGTTGACGGTTGATGGGGAAGGGGTGGTGATTAAGCAGTATGAGGATATGGTTGTTGCATCTTGTGGGTGCCAATGAGTCATAAATAAATTGTAAATAAATGTATATATTAATTTTATTTTTATATGTAATAAATAAATTTTTTATTAAAAAAATTCTAAGACGATTTTCTTAATAATAAAAATTTCAAATGGCTTTTTCTTAAGCTTTTTAAATAGAACACCCTGTATATTGTGTGCTAGTTGAATTGCTCATCAAGTTCCCTTTAATTAATGATAAGTATGTCTTATGTCTATAATAGTTTTAGTTTTAATAATGTATCTTTAAACCGTATAATGCTCTGATGCAGAAGATACGGGACACCCTGTATATCGTTTTAAAGAGGACACTTTAATCTTTAATTTGATATAAAACTCCTTTCTATATCTTTAAAAGTGGACCTAAGAGAATTTTTTAATAATTACAATCTTTTTCTTAATTATTAAAGATTACTATATTTAGAAAAAAGCTGTTTTGAGCGAGATTCAAAATGAAACGATAACGTGTTATATACCGTTTTAAAGTGGACACTTTAATCTTTAATTTGGTATAAAAATCTTTATTCCAACTTTAAAACTCGACTCAGTCCGATATTTTAAAGTTGACGTTTTTTTCTTCGAAACTAATATTTCATCAAAAATAAGTCATTTACGAAAAAAATTCTTTTAAGATGAATCAAGCATAACACAATATAGTGTGATATGTCACTTTAAAGACAACACTTTAATCTTTAATTTAATATTAAACTCGATTCTATATCTTTAAAAGTGAACCTAAGAGGATTTTTTAAAAATTACGATTTTTTTCTTAATTATTAAAAATTACTACATTTAGAAAAAAGTTGTTTTGAGTGAGATTCAAAATGAAATGATAACGTGTTATATACCGTTTTAAAGTGGACACTTTAATCTTTAATTTGGTATAAATATCTTTATTCCAGCTTTAAACCTCGACTCACCCCGATATTTTAAAGTTGACGTTTTTTTCTTCGAAACTAATATTTCATCAAAAATAAGTCATTTTCGAAAAAAAATCTTTTGAGCGGAATGAAGCATAACACAACATAGTGTGATATATCATTTTTAAAGAGAACACTTTAATCTTTAATTTGATATAAAACTCGTTTCTTTATCTTTAGAATTGAACCTAAGATGATTTTTTTATAATTACGATCTTTTTCTTAACTCTTAAATATTACCATATTTAGAAAAAAGTTGTTTTGAGCGAGATTCAAAATGAAATGATAATGTGTTATATACCGCATTAAAGAGGACACTTTAAGCTTTAATTTGGTATAAAAATCGTTTTTCTAACTTTAAAACTCGACCCACCCCGATTTTTTAAACTTAACATTTTTTTCTTCAAAACTATTTCATCAAAATTAAGTCATTTTAAAAAAAAAATCTTTTGAGCGGAATGAAGCATAACACAACATAGTATGATATATCATTTTAAAGAGAACACTTTAATCTTTAATTTGATACAAAACTCTTTTCTATATCTTTAAACTTGTATCTGAGGGGATTTTTTAAAAATTATGATTTTTTTCTTAATTATTAAAAATTAATATATTTCGAAAAAAATTGTTTTTAACGAGATCCAAAATGATATGATAATGTGTTTTATATCGTTTTAATGGGAACACTTTAAGCTTTAATTTGGTATAAAATTCGTTATTCCAACTTTAAAATTCGACTCATCCCGATATTTTAAAGTTGACGTTTCTTCTTCGAAACTATTTCATAAAAAATAAGTCGTTTTAGAAAAAAAATACTTTTGTGCGGAATTATGCATAACATAACACAGTGTGATATATCATTTTAAAGACAACACTTTCATCTTTAATTTGATATAAAACTCTTTTCTATATCTTTAAAATTCACGCTGAGGGGATTTTTTTAATATTACTTGCCTTTTGGTCAAAAATAAAACGAAAATAATAACGTATTATATATCATCTTAAAGAGGATCGTTTTTTCTTTAATCAATTTGTCATCTTAAGAGGACAGTTTATTATTATTTTACATATATGACACTTTATTATTGTATTTTAATTCCATTCAAAAAAAAATTTATATTTTCAAGGTAAATAAAAAAAGATTAAGTAATGATTAATGATGCAAAGTTCAAATTATTTATTGATTAATAATAACACAATGAATTCTTGGATTATATTCAATCATAGAGATTATAAGATAAATCGCTAAACGGGATGGAGTATCTTTTGGGTTAACCATCACTTTAGTACTTTTCAAGGAATCTTTGCCTGACCAGTAAATTCCTTACCCAACATTTTCTTTGTTGATCATGTTGATTATAATAAACCCCGTTTAAATGTGAAGACATAGAGTTTAGGAACCACCATGCACCTTGATACAGGATAACACAAGGCCACTCTGATCATTTATGTTATCAAAAGTGCTGAATTTCGTGCCGCTAAAATGCATTAAAATTACTCAATTATTACTTGGTGATAAGATCTAATTTCTCATCCAAAATCGATAATTGTTGGTCCCAAGATGAAGTGTGCAATTGGAAATACTCCCAAAGATGTGATTTTAATTGTAATTTTTTTACATTCACGTCTATTGAGGTAAAAAGATTATGAATCTAATCTTGATCAATCATCATTGTTTTCTCCTCTAAAAAAATTAATTAATTAATTATTTGTGTTAATTTAATTCCAGGAACTTACTTAAAAGAGAAACGGGTTCTTTGATTTCGCGAACGTCGTAATTAAAGAATCTGAAAAGATGGAGAAACATTTTGTGTGGTCACGTCCAAAAATATTAAAAAGTACTTAATCATCGTTTCTTAGCGGAAAATGACCAAAATTTATATTAAAATGTAACCATCACCTTATCAATTAGGCCCACGAGATAGTGGAAAAACATCCTGAGGAAAAGCGATAATTTTATTTAGAAGTGTAAAATAAACTCTTTTGTTTAGCCAAAACTTTACAATTAATATCAATACGATTTTTTAAAGTTCTTTCAGCCAAAATTAAATTAACGCGATAAAGTGTTATATATCATTTTAAAGAGAAGACTTTAATCTTTAAGTTGATATGAAACTAGTTTCTATATCTTTAAAATTTAACCTGAAGGGATTTTGTAGAAATGACGATTTTTTTCGTAATTATTAAAAATTACTATGTTTAGAAAAAAGTTGTTTTGATCGTGATTCAAAACGAAATGACAATGTGTTATATATTTATTTTAAAGAGGACACTTTAAGTTTTAATTTGGTATAAAAATCGTTTTTCCAACTTTAAAACTCGACTCACCCCGATTTTTTAAACTTGACAATTTGACAACTTGAAAATTAAGTCATTTTCGAAAAAAATTCTTTGAGCGGAATCAAGCGTAACACAACATAGTGTGATATATCATTTTAAAGAGCACACTTTAATCTTTGATTTGATATAAAACTCGTTTCTATATCTTTAAAATCGAACCTGGGGGAATTTTTTTAAAATTACTATCTTTTTCTTAACTATTAAAAATTACAATGTTTAAAAAAAAATGTTTTGATCGAGGTTCAAAACGAAATGACAAGATGTTATATATAGTTTTAAAGGAGACACTTCAAGCATTAATTTGGTATAAAGCTCTTTATTCCAACTTTAAAACTCGACACACCCCAATTTTTTAAAGTTGGTGTTTTTTTTCTTCGAAAGTAATATGTCATCGAAAATAAACCATTTTCGAAAAAAATTCTTTTGAGAGGAATCAAGCATAACACAACATAGTGTGATACACCATTTTAAAGAGAACACTTTAATCTATAATTTGATATAAAACTCGTTTTTATATCTTTAAAATCAAACCTGGGGAGATTTTTTAAATATTACGATCTATTTCTTAACTATTAAAAATTACAATGTTTAGAAAAAAAATATTTTGATCGAGGTTCAAAACGAAATGACAAGATGTTATATATAGTTTTAAAGGAGACACTTTAAACTTTAATTTGGTATAAAAATCTTTATTCCAACTTTAAAACTCGACACACCCCAATTTTTTAAAGTTGATGTTTTTTTTCTTCAAAACTATTTCATCAAAATTAAGTCATTTTAGAAAAAAATTTTTTTGAGCAGAATGAAGCATAACACAACATAGTGTGATATATCTTTTTAAAGAAAACACTTTAATCTTTAATTTGGTACAAACCTCGTTTCTTTATCTTTAGAATTGAACCTAAGATGATTTTTTTTAAATTACGACCTTTTTCTTAACTATTAAAAATTACAATGTTTAGAAAAAAGATGTTTTGATCGAGGTTCAAAACGAAATGATAATGTGTTATATATCGTTTTAAAGAGGACACTTTAAGCTTTAATTTGGTATCAAAATAGTTATTCCAACTTTAAAACTCGACTCACCCCGATATTTTAAAGTTGACGTTTTTCTCTTCGAAAATAATATTTCATCAAAAATAAGTCATTTACGAAAAAATTTCTTTTGAGATGAATCAAGCAGAACACAACATAGTGTGACATATCATTTTAAAGACAACACTTTAATCTTTAATTTGATATAAAACTCGTTTCTATATCTTTAAAATTGAACCTAAGAGAATTTTTTTAAAATTACAATCTTTTTCTTAACTATTAAAAATTACAATGTTTAGAAAAAAAATGTTTTCATCGAGATTCAAAACGAAATGATAATGTGTTATATATCGTTTTAAAGAGGACACTTTAAGTTTTAATTTGGTGTAAAAATCTTTATTCCAACTTTAAAACTCGACTAACCCCGGTATTTTAAAGTTGACGTTTTTTTCTTCGAAACTAATATTTCATCAAAAATAAGTCATTTACGAAAAAAATTCTTTTGAGATGAATCAAGCATAACACAACATAGTGTGATATATCATTTTAAAGACAACACTTTAATCTTTAATTTGATACAAACCTCGCTTCTATATCTTTAGAATTGAACCTAAGAGGATTTTTTAAAAAGTACAATCTTTTTCTTAACTATTAAAAATTATAATGTTTAGAAAAAAGATGTTTTGATCGAGATTCAAAACGAAATGACAATGTGTTATATATCGTTTTAAAGAAGACACTTTAAGCTTTAATTTAGTATAAAAATAGTTATTCCAACTTTAAAACTCGACTCACCCCGATTTTTTAAAATTGACGTTTTTTTCTTCGAAACTATTTCATCAAAATTAAGTCATTTTAGAAAAAAATTCTTTTGAGCGGAATGAAGCATAACACAATATAGTGTGATATATCATTTTAAAGACAACACTTCAACCTTTAATTTGGTATAAAACTCGTATCTATATCTTTAAAATTGAAGCTGAAGGGATTTTTTGATAATTAAGTTTTAGTTTTGATAGAAAACTCATTACTCTGTCAAATTAAACGTCAAATGTATCAATTTATATTTTCCCAAAAAAAAATTATAATTATATATAATAGTAAATTTAACTTGTAAATAAAATCCAATAATTAAGATATGTTTATAACAAGTTCCGTTAACATTCCATTGGCGATATTCACAGTAATTCTAAGAAGATTAATCGATCGACTTCGAGATCCTCCGGTACTCTTCATTACATTCTAAGTTTCCTAAAAAAAATATTCTCTTTTATAGCCAGCTCTTCAAGTAGTGGTGTCGGGAAATTTTCTTCAACAATACCCAAATTTCAAACCAATCGTTTACGGTTACGTCATATTCGCGGTGTTACGTTACGTAATTAAACATGTCAAGAGAGGCACCATGATGGATTCTATTCGAAAATTATTAACACCAGCAAAATCATGCAGAAGTAAACCAAAATTAACGCGATTTCTCACAAACGAGTCTTGGATGTTGAGGAATTTAACGAAGAATAGGTCGTCGAAGCATAAAGCTTTATCGTTCGTATCAACTTTAATCGATGATGAATCAGTAGAACCAACATCTTCACGTTATGGCACTGAAAATACTTGTACTTGCGGTTTGAGTACAACCATGTTGAACCCGTATTTTATTCCTAAATTAAATAATCGCAAAAATGATGAGGAATCACGAGAAATTGAAGATTCAAATGAAACTGTGGATGATGATAATAATGGAAATTCCACAAGAACTTGTGATGTAGGTTGTTTGAGGAAGCGAAATGTTAGAGCTGATAGAGATGGAGTGAATGCAGCGGAATTGGCTTATACTAAAACGAGAAGTGGGAAAAAATATTATCGGGTCACTCCTGTACGTAAAAAGAATGGATAATAAATTTTTTGTGGTAAAATTAAATTTGTTGTTATTGGTTTAGTCGCCTTTAAATCAATAATTTATAGGTTTAAAGTGTTGATTTATGTTGCAAATTAAAGCTAAAAGAATCTATTTTACGATTAGGCTAAAAAAATTTAGTGTTTAATAGGAAAAATTTCCAGAAAAAGAATCTTGAAGATAAAGTTGCAAATCTAGGTTTTGTAGAAATGTGTCCGAAATAGAAGAAATTTAAAAAAATCGCCTTGGAGTTATTAGTAGGTGTAAAGCAAAGGTTTATGTCGCAAATTGAAGCTAAAAGAATCTATTTTATGATTAGATTAAAAAAATTTTGTGTTTAATAGGAAAAGTTTCGGGAAAAAGAATCTTGAAGATAAAGTTGCAAATCTAGGTTTTCTAGAAATGTGTCCTAAACAGAAGAAATTTTAAAAAATCGCCTTGGAGTTATTACTAGGTGTAAAGCGATGTTTTATGTCGCAAATTGAAGCTAAAAGAATCTATTTTATGATTAGATTAAAAAAATTTGGTGTTTAATAGGAAAAATTTCCGGAAAAAGAATCTTGAAGATAAAGTTGCAAATCTAGGTTTTGTTGAAACGTATCCGAGACAGAAGAAATTTCATTATTAGTAGGTGTAAAGCAAAAGTTTATGTCTCAAATTGAAGCTAACAGAATCTATTTTATGATTAGATTAAAAAAATTTTGTGTTTAATAAGAAAAATTTCCGGAAAAAGAATCTTGAAGATAAAATTGCAAATCTAGGTTTTGTTGAAACGTATCCGAGACAGAAGAAATTTCAAAAAATCGCCTTGGAGTTATTAGTAGGTGTAAAGCAAAAGTTTATGTCTCAAATTGAAGCTAACAGAATCTATTTTATGATTAGATTAAAAAAATTTTGTGTTTAATAAGAAAAATTTGCGGAAAAGAATCTTGAAGATAAAGTTGCAAATCTAGGTTTTGTAGAAATGTGTCCTAAACAGAAGAAACTTCAAAAAATCGCCTTGGAGTTATTAGTAGGTGTAAAGCAAAAGTTTATGTCTCAAATTGAAGCTAAAAGAATCTATTTTATGATTAGATTAAAAAAATTTTGTGTTTAATAGGAAAAATTTCCAGAAAAAGAATCTTGAAGATAAAGTTGCAAATCTAGGCTTTGTTGAAACGTATCCGAAACAGAAGAAATTTCAAAAAATCGCCTTGCAGTTATTACTAGGTGTAAAACGATGGTTTATGTTTCAAATTAAAGCTAAAAGACTCTATTTTATGATTAGGTTAAAAAAATGTAGTGTTTAATAAGAAAAATTCGCTTATAGAAAATCTTGAAGATAAAGTTGCAAATCTAGGTTTTATGTGTGCGAAACAGAAGTAATTTCAAAAAACCGCCTTTGAGTTTCTCGCTTTGCTTCATCACCTAATTCGATAGTATGGTTAAATTTTGGTTTATACGGCAATATTTTATTTTCTGGATAAATTCTTTGTAAATGGGATTTACTTATACCGACTTGAATTACCCTTTTTCTTAACGACACCTTACCGTAATCCATTGCGTCATGTTCATCTAAAAGCTTTTTCTCCTTCCTTGGAAAAATTTCCATTACAATTTTAGCAAATTATTCCAACATTAAAATAACGCATAATTAAGTGCAATTTAAGAAAAATGTATTGATTCATTCCAAATATTTATATCAACATCTCGTTAAGAGAGAAATTTTGTTAATCACATCGTAATTGAGCACCGTACTGTTCACAAGGAATGAAAATTTTCTTATTTTAAAAAAATTCTTTATAACACCATTCTTATTGTATATAGAAAAGTTTGTGGAAAAGTGTTAATTAATTATCGTACCCGACTTCATCTTTGCAAGTATGCAACCAATATCGCAAATCGTACGTCGATATATTTGGAATAATCGTATTAATAATTGGGCACTTAATTTTTTCGTAGCAAAGTTCGCACCAAAATTACGTCTCAACGAGATTATTTTTAAATTGCAGTTAATTCTGCTGAATTGTTATATTCGAATAAATAGCTAACAACGATATGTTTGGAATAATCGTAGTAATAATTGGATATCCAATTGCTATATAAGTATCTATACCAAAATTACGCCTGGTAACAACATTCAGATTTACAATGNGAAGATAAAGTTGCAAATCTAGGTTTTGTTGAAACGTATCCGAGACAGAAGAAATTTCAAAAAATCGCCTTGGAGTTATTAGTAGGTGTAAAGCAAAGGTTTATGTCTCAAATTGAAGCTAAAAGAATCTATTTTATGATTAGATTAAAAAAATGTTGTGTTTAATAGGAAAAATATCCAGAAAAAGAATCTTGAAGATAAAGTTGCAAAATCTAGGTTTTGTAGAAACGTATCCGAGATAGAAGAAATTTAAAAAAATCGCTTTGGAGTTATTACTAGGTGTAAAGCGATGATTTATGTCGCAAATTAAAGCTAAAAGAATCTATTTTATGATATGATGATTTAAGAAAATTTTGTGTTTAATAAGAAAAATTCGCGGATAGAAAATCTTGAAGATAAAATTGCAAATCTAGGTTTTACGTTTGCGAAACAGAAGTAATTTTCGATAAATTCTTTGTAAATGGGATTTACTTATACCGACTTGAATTACCCTTTTTCTTAACGACACCTTACCGTAATCTATTGCGTCATGTTCATCTAAAAGCTTTTTCTCCTTCCTTGAAAAAATTTCCATTACAATTTTAGCAAATTATTCCAACATTAAAATAACGCATAATTAAGTGCAATTTAAGAAAAATGTATTGATTCATTCCAAATATTTATATCAACATCTCCTTAAGAGAGAAATTTTGTTAATCACATCGTAATTGAGCACCGTACTGTTCACAAGGAATGAAAATTTTCTTATTTTAAAAAAATTCTTTATAACACCATTCTTATTGTATATAGAAAAGTTTGTGGAAAAGTGTTAATTAATTATCGTACCCGACTTCATCTTTGCAAGTATGCAACCAATATCGCAAATCGTACGTCGATATATTTGGAATAATCGTATTAATAATTGGGCACCTAATTTTTTCGTAGCAAAGTTCGCACCAAAATTACGTCTCAACGAGATTATTTTTAAATTGCACTTAATTCTGCTGAATTGTAATATTCGAATAAATAGCTAACAACGATATGTTTGGAATAATCGTAGTAATAATTGGATATCCAATTGCTATATAAGTATCTATACCAAAATTACGCCTGATAACCACATTCAGATTTGCAATGCTTTTTGTGGAGTTTGTAGCTGCGATAATTATTGCGATTTTTTCGCTAACGTTATGGTGGTATTCTATATTTTATAAATACAAAAAGTACTTGAAAATGTTTTGTACCCCAACCCAGTTGCCTCTTTTAGGGATCACCTACAAGATGCGAAATACTGTTGGTAAGTATCGAAAAGAAGAAAAATAATCGTTTTTTTAATTATTAATTTTTAAGGTATTTATAATGCTCTACAATCATATATTAAAGAAATGGGAAGAAATATTTTTGTTATGATGGGACCATTCCCAACTCTCCTTACATCCGATCCTAAAATATTTTCAGTCGTACTAGGATCCTCAAAACACATAAACAAACCCTTCGTGTTCAGTGCAGCATTCAGCAAGATGGCACCAAATTCACTCGCTATAGTAAACGGTACCAAACATCATTTTATTGCTTCGCAAATTAATTTTTCAATTCCAGGGGACGAATGGCGACGCCAAAGAAAACTTTTAAATCCATCTCTTGACTATAAAAATGTAATGGACAACAACAAAATTTTTAATAAGCATTCAGAAAATTTAATTAACAAGTTAAAAGAGGAAATAAACAATGAATCGGTTGAGGTTGGACACATTCTGGAGGATTTTACTTTTGAGCAGTCTTTCGGTTCGTTTACCTATTTATTTTCACTTTTTATTGTTTCAAATAAAATTAAATGTATTTTCACAGAAACGTTGTTTGGCGACACCGAATTTGAATTTGATAAGAAGGTCATGGGAAAATGTATTAAGTTATTGATGAATATAGGTGCGAAAAAAGTTGTTTCACCACTTAGCTACTTTTCTATAACACAAATATTCACGAAAATTTATTGGCAGGAAAGAAACACACTAAAAATTTTTCACAAAATCGTCAAGAAATTAATTGAAAAAAAGCGGAAAGAATTTAACAGTGGTGTAAAAATAGAAAGGAGACCAATATATATCGATATTTTATTTAGTACTAATTGCACGGATGAATTTATTGAGGACCAAGTAACTGTTGGGATTGGAGTTGTAAGAATGTTTGTTATGAAATTTAAAATTCGTTATACAGGTGTACAAAAAGTATGGAATAATGGTTCTACAGCGTAAACTTCAACTTATTTTATTTATTTATTTATTTATTCGTTTCGGGATGCAGACAGGTTACCCCAATAAAGCATCCACAAAATTTACAAACAAAATACAGATATAACATAATAAGTCCTAAACTATAAAGCTAAACAGACATGAAAGAAAAAAAACAAAAATACAATTCAAAAGCAACAACTAAAAGTAAATTTCAACTCAAAATTTCAGTCAATGTTGGGAAGCAACATACATTTCTTTTTAAACGACACAAAAGAATAATTAAAAATATCAATCGACTGGCAAACTTTATTATAACAATTTAATATGCGCAGGATAGGCGAATTAGTATACGCATTAGACGCCGAAGGAGGTATTCTAAACAAAAAACTATCGCGAGTTGCGATATTGCGGGACATTAAAACTAATTAAAGATAAGAGTTCTGGGTTATCAATAAGCCCGGTAACCAGTTTATATAATAAACACAAGTCCCTCACAAATCTACGGCGAGGCAGAGAAATCAATCCGAACACTGCACAAGCAACCGAGTACTCACAATAAGGTAAGTGAAATTTATGAGCTAGAAACCTAACAAAACGACGCTGAAACAACTCCAAACGGTCAATGTATATGTGATACATTGGATTCCAAACCACCGAGCAAAAAGATAGAATACTATTAACATATGCCATATAAGCAGATTTTAAGCAATCAAGATTTGAGAAGACATAGGTAGTTCTTAGAATAAATCCCAATTGTCTCATAGCTTTGAAAAAGATGTACTCAATGTGATCTGAAAATAAGAGTTTTGAATCTAGCATCACACCAAGGTCTTTGATAGAAGGAACACATTTAATAGATTCAACACCAAGCAGATATGAAAAATCAATGTTATATCTTTTTCTGCTAAAAGAAATTTTGGAGCATTTTTCATAATTTAGAAGAAGTTTGTTCATAGAACAATAAGTGTTAAAACGATAAAGATCGCTTTGCAATTTAATACAGTCAGCAACTGTACGTATATAATAAGAAACTGGAATGCATAAAACACGATCCAATGTCGTTAATGAAAATTACAAATAATAACGGGCCGAGAGGGCTCCCCTGGAGTACTCCAGACGTAACAGCTCGAAAGCTGTTACGAAAAAGCAGCTTTTGTCACGAAAAAAGGACCATAACTGTTTCGGATTGTCAATAATATTTTCTTGCAAGCTATTAATGTAATTTTGATAGTCAGCCTTAATGAGACTCTTCGATCGTTTACGCAACAAAGAAAAAGACAAGTAATCCACTTGATTACCGTACTTTTTCCACCTTTTATGATACTTAAATTTTTCCCTAATAACCCTAATGGTTGAGGGGGCATACCAATGTGGAAAACGCTTAGAATTCCCGATGGTTCTGTGAGGGACATGATGCCTAATCATCCGATTCAGATGTGAGTAGAATACCTCCAAGGCTTGGTTAACATTAAGATTAATAAAGGCGTCATTCCAGTCAAATGCACGGATATCAGCTTTGAGAGAAACGTAATCTGCCTTATTAAAAAAGAATCTTTCAAGCCGACCATCATCAAACTTTACATTCGAACTGAACTCAAAACAAAAATCTATAGCTGGATGATGGTCATCAAGATTAACTAACGGCTCAAAACAATTCTGAACGCAAAACACAGCAAATCGATTACAAAGAATCAGATGTAACGTTCGACAGTTTGTATTAGAAATATTATTAAATTGCGAAAAATTACAATATGAAAATATGCCCAGAAAATCTTTTGTACGCACCGAATTATCCCCAGAGGGCAAGAGTATACCAGTAGAAGACGTCTTCCAAGTTAATCCAGGTAAATTAAAGTCGCCAACTACGAGGATGATGTCATTCGGATTACGATCATTAATCATCTGCAGCTGTAGAGGAAAGCTATTGATCGCTGCAGTATCATTGGGAGGCAAGTAAACACAACACAACAAAACACGCGACACTTCACCACGGACGCACAACCATAAGTCCTCTGCACCCGTTGAAAACTCTGGCATTGGAGACACAGGAATACCCCTTTTGGCCGCCACAAGAACACCACCTCCATCGAGCTTGGTAGATAAAGAAGAAGATCTGTCACGACGGTATATTAAAAAAAGTTTTAAATAAAAGTTACTTGAAACTATTTTCCGCATATCTTGGCGTAGAAATAAAACAAAAATGATGACGGCAGTTTGAGTTACGACATGGTGAGTGTTTTTTAAATGAAACATCCTGTATATTTTAAGGTTTTTGGATTCCTTTTGGCAAGGTGTTCCAAAATACCATAAGGTTTTAATGCTTTAAACTGCATAGTTTTCGAGATATTGAAACTTTTCTTTAAAAAGATTTGACGTAGCGACAATCAAACTATGGCGTCATTATGGGATTGCTATGTGCGTTACTATGGTAACGGAAACAATTTCCGCTCGAATTTTAAGTTGACAGTAGATATTACATAAATAAAAACATGGGTGGTTACCAAGGACAGTAGAATCTAACAGGACTGCTACATCCATTGTATTTTTGTAGTCCACTACGGGTTGGTTGCCCGCACACTACATCACACTATTTGCCACGCCTGGTAACTCTCTGTGTTTTTAGAGGTTATATGATAGACATTAATACGTCTAAAAACATAAAACTTCAAAAATATAATGAATACGTCTAGGATATAACCTCTAATAATACACAGCAAACATAGACCATAACAACAGCTGGGCGTGGAAAATGGTATGACGTAGTTTGCGGGCAGGTTGTCACAACAATGGATGTAGCAGTCCTGTTAGATTCTACTGTCCTTGGGTGGTTACTACATTTAATTGTAACAAATAATAATTAAACAATGAAATTTTATAACGAACAATAACAGGAAATAAAACAAAAACAGTAACAATATTAAATTAAATCTTCAAAATGTTGTCCATTAGCAGCAAGGCAATGGCCTAACCTAAACGATCACTAAAAGCACGAATTGTATTTCTGAAATGATCAGGCAATATTTATTATGTATTCGCCGTTCTAATTCTGCTAAATTATTAGGACGGTTTTGATATACTTTGCTTTTTAGGTTACCCCATAAGAAAAAGTCGCATGATGTCAAGTCTGAAGATCGTAGCGTACATTTAGATGATAGTGAGGTGGTGCCCCATCTTGTTGGAACCAGAGATTACTTTCGTTCGGAAAAAGATCTCTACAGGTCGGAATTATTTGTTCCAGATAACGATCACTAGTAAGATTTCCATAGATTACAAACGGGCCGATAATTCTATCTCTACAAATACCTGCCCACAAATTTATTTTCTGCTTCGTTTCTCAGCAGACCAGTATCGTTAATTGCGTCCATTCACTTTTCCATTCAAGTAAAATGTGGCTTCGTCAGAAACTATTATGTTGTTAACGAAGTTCGGATCATCGTTAATTCACCTCATCATTTCTTCACAAAATACTACACGTCTATCAAAATCATCTTCTGATCACTGTAGCAGTAAAGCCGGTTTATAGGGATGTTGTTTCTCCTTTTTCAAAATGTTTTGAATAGATTCTGTACTGACATCGAAATTTAAGGCTAGTTGACGAATCGAGGTATGTAGATTATCTGTTATTTCTTCTAACACACCTTGCCTCATCATATCTTCATTTGTTGCAACATTCGGCCGATCGCATTTTGGAATATCCTTTACATGACCCGTCTCCTTAAAACGTTTTAAAGTTTTACTAACTGTAAAATCTCTAAAATGTTTCATTAAATAAAACACATACTTCATGTTGCGTTCTGGTACGATCTCCAAAACCAACCATTGTTAAAATAATAATTCGTTCTGTGTCCGTTAATTCAACTAATAATGCCAGCAACTACCTTTGTTTAAACTTTAAATTGTCTCCGTTACCATGGCAACGCACATAACAATCATATCGTCACATCATAGCTTGCTCCAGATAGGTGTAGTTTAGTAATTTTTATACAAGCTGATGTAATAAATGTTCAATAGTAATAATAACAGGAATAACTAATAATATCTCCGTGTCCTAACTCAAATCGGCGTCACCATTTTATTTTTAAATCTACACCAAAATATGCGGAAACTAGATTCAAGCAGACCCATGTTCTTATTTATTTAATATCTACAGTTAAGACCTTTTCGAAATCAACTTAAAATAGACAACCTAAACCTTGACGTCATAGAGATGGGCGGAGCTTATACCGACTCCAAACATTTTCGTTGCTAACTGTGTTGCTAACGGTAAATCACCATATATGCAATTTTTCTTTAATGTTAAAATAAAATAAACTAAGTGATGACATTTCAAATGACATTTATTGGCGGTTTATCGTTAGCAACGAAATAGACAACTTAAGCCTTGACGTCACAGTGATGGGCGGATCTTATACTGACTCCAAACGTTTTCGTTGCCAACTGCCGTCATCATTTTTATTTTATTTCTACGCCAAGATATGCGGAAAATAGTTTCAAGTAACTTTTATTTAAAACTTTTTTTAATATAAGTTGAAGTGTAGGCTGTAGAACCATTATTCCATACTTTTTGTACACCCTGTATATAATTAATTTATATTTTAGGCCGTAGACACGACTGCAGTAACATTATCGTTTATGCTTTACCACTTAGCAAAATTCCCCGAAATACAAGTATAATAAATATTATTAATTTAAATCAATCATTTTAAACTATTTAATCAAATTTATAGCAAAAAGCATTCGAGGAAGTTCACTCAATCCTGGGCGAAGACATCCACCAAACAATAACGAACCAACAAATAATGCAGATGAAATATTTGGATTTAGTTATCAAAGAATCGATGAGATTAAATACGACTGCTCCTGTATTTTTACGAACACTTGAAGAAGATGTACCTTACGAAAAAACCACGCTACCCAAAGGTTTAATGGTTTTTATGATCCCGTTTATGATGCATGTTGACCTTGAATTATATCCGGATCCTGAAAAATTTATTCCCGAACGGTTTCTCCCGGAAAATTTGAGCCCAAATAGATATAGTTACGCACCTTTTAATCTTGGTGTTCGGAATTGTATTGGAAAATTGTACGCAATGGTTTCGATGAAAATTGCGTTAGCTAAGATGTTGCTTAATTACGAGTTTGTGGACGTTCACCATCAACTTTGTTTGTCCGTGGAGGTTACTTTGCAATCAAAAACTGGGATTCGAGTTGGAATACGTAAAAGAAATTACGTGGAAAAGAACGAATAATGAATTATATTTTTAAATTTTATTTTCTTTCTTAATGGCATGTTTCGCTTTAAAACTTGTAATAAACTTAGTAACAATTTCTACATTGTAAATAATAGCTGTTATTACTACAACACACACGAATTAAAAATTTTATAAAAGAAATAAAAAAGGGCAGTATAAACACATCGAGGAAATTGATCAATTGTCAATTAAAATAATTACTTTCAATTTATTGACTAACAGATTTGTAGTGATAAAACATACCTAGTTCACAGGGAAATTAAAATTATGTTATTTTAAAAAAATGTATATAGACAATAATTGCTTAAAATATAATTCTGATCAAATTATATACAGGGTATATCTGAATGACGTTTCCAAACTTCAGGGGTGATTCTTTAGCAAAATTGTTTTGCTAAAGTTTTAATTTTTTTATCTCCAGTACTAAAATCGCATGGAAAATAAAATTTGGGGAATAAGTTTAGCTCATTATACAGCACGTTTCTAACTTATTTGTACTTTTAATATTTCCTCGTAAGTTACGAAACATAACAACTCCCGTTCAATTTATGTCTAGATTTTTTTAGGAAGGTAATAAATACGTTGGAAAAATTTCATTATGTTATTTTAATAGTTATTTATATTACAAGTGGGCTAGAAACATAATTACAGTATGAGTGTGGAGAATTGCACGACGAGGTCGTAGACCGAGTCGTGTAATCACAGGGGTACTGTAATATTATGCTCTAGCCCACGTGTGATATACAGCGTTTTATCTACGACTGCTAAAAATTACTAAAAAATCAATTTCTTTAAAAAAGTCTATTTGACATTTATAAAAATATTTTGAAATGATTGTTGTCAATTTTGAATTGTCAGTTTCAACATGTTTACTCATCTGGAATAAGTGTTTTGAAATGTAAAAACATAACAATTAATGTTTATAATAAATAGTATTGTTTCTCTGTAAGTAGATAGCACTTTTTCTTTTGTATTGTTGCTCGTTTCAATAAATTAAGTCTGTTCTGAAAAAAATGTATAGACAAAAATTGCTTAAAATATAATTTTGACCAAAAATATTATATACAGGCTGTATTTGAATAACGTTCCCAAATTTCAGGGGTTATTCTTTAGTAAAATTTAAGGGTACTCTCTTATATGAACTATGAGCGACTTCGACTACCCTGGGGAGCTACGCTTCTTCAAAAATGGCGGAAAATGTTGGTTTAATTTTTTTATCTCGGGTACTAAAAACGCATGGAAAATAAAATTTGGGGAATAAGTTTAGCTCATAATACACAGGAAAAATTTGTGTCGTGTAAAAATTTTAGAGTATACTCTAAAATTTTTTTTACCAACTATAGTTGGTAAAAAGAATTAGAAGAGTAAAAATTGTAATACCACGTGGTAAAAACACCTCTAATGTACACTATATTTAATATTAATATAGAGTTCATATATTATTCACTTAATAGAGTAGTTTTTACAGTTCTCTAAAGGAGAGTTCTTTTTTACTCATGTTAGTGAAGTTATGTAATATATAAAACATTAAATTTTACACAACACGTGTAAACTGTACTTTTCCTTCAGGTACTTCGTAGGCACCACACTATTTTGCTCGGAATTACTCGTCGGTACCACATGATCAACATGTGGTGTGATACAGCTAAAATTTCGTAGATTTTGGGTGTGGTTCGAGACAATTATTGAGATAGTTATTGTTATTTTTCGTTAATAAAGTCGTTTATTGTGAACAAAGTTGTGTTTGACTGATTACTGAACGCTCGGCCTTAAGCCTACAATATTACAAGTAAAAATAAAAACAAATATTTTATAATTTTGATTTTTATTACAAACCTAAAATTTCCCTAAAAATACTCTATACGTCCTATTAAAAATTCACACTAATAAGTGAAAGATACACACTATTTAGTGATATTTTGTCAATTAATAGAGTAAAATTAGAACGAATCTTTAATAATTTACACTGATTAGATTAAAAATGTATCTAATAGAGTAACGACAACATCTAGTTAGATTACATATAATACACTGTTAGAGAGTAACGATTTTACACTATTTAATAAACACCATCTTCTCACTATTTAGTGTAAAATTTTAATCTATTCACCTACACTATATAGTGCAAAAAGTAACTCTAAATGTATTGGACCGATCTGAACCATGTTTTAAAGTTGATTTTTACTCTATATTTTTTCCTGTGTACCCAAATACTGCTTATCGCCGTCGAAATTTCCTCTCTGGTTTACTGGAAGCAGTAAACGTATATTGAATATAAAGGAGCACTACTTTAAGAAGTAGCAGAGATCTAAACAACTATCATATTCCGATGAATATGTTAGGTTGCGTCGTTTATCCAAGGATGCAATAGATTCTGATTGTCAGTCTTATCTCGTGAATACCGAAAATTGTATATCGACCGACCCCAAAAATTTTTGGCGTTACGTGAATCGAATATAATTCTTTCATTTCGAATATAATGAAAGAAACATGGTAATTCGCGTATTCCAGACTGTATGACCTTTGCTGGCTCTGAAATCTCTGACCCCTGGAAATAGTGCAGGCCTTCTCTGTCTTGTTTTCTGAAGCCTTCAATCCTGGACTTACAACTATCGGTAACTGTAACCAGCAAGTTAACTGGCCTGGACCCTTCTACATTACTCCATTTTCTATTGAGTAGGTAGAAATCTGTATGAAATCTGAATCTGTTGGATAATAGATATATTATATTATTAAAAATGTTGGTAACTTTGGCGTTATTTTGGATAACTTTAAAAATCTGTAAAAAATTGAATTGTTAAGAATTTGTTCTCATAGTTTGTTGATTTATAAAGAAAAGTGTGCTCTTTTAACTGATGCAACCCGTTTTTGAAAATATCATTTAATTTTAAAGATATTAATTCTTAAACATGATGAAAAATGTTAGTAACGTTAACGTTATTTTAAATAACTTTAAAAATCTCTGAAAAATCGAATTCTTAAGAATTTGTTCTCAAAGTTTGTTGATTTATAAAGAAAAGCATGCTCTTTCAAGTGGTGCAACCTGTTTTTGAAAATATCATTTAGTTTAAAAGATATTAATTCTTAAACATGATGAAAAATGTTAGTAACTTTTGCGTTATTTTGGATAACTTTAAAAATCTCTGAAAAATCGAATTCTCAAGAGTTTGTTCTCAAAGTTTGTTGATTTATAAAGAAAAGCATGCTCTTTCAAGTGGTGCAACCTGTTTTTGAAAATATCATTTAGCTCTAAAGACAATCTAGAATCCTTAAGGTTTAATGTAACGTACATATCATATTATTATGACTAAAAACACGGCCGATACGATTTTTTGAAAAATTTGTGTTATTTTTGATTTATAGTTTAACAATTTCTCCTTTAACAATTTTTTCCTGGAAATTTCAATAATATTATCTAATAATTTTTTATGTCATATCATAATCTAGAATCATTAAGGTTCATTTTAACGTACATATCATATCATTATCATTAAAAAAACGGCTGATATGAATTTTTGAAAATTTTGTGTTATTTTTGATTTATAATTTGACAATTTTCTCATTAACAATTTTATCCTGGAAATCTCAATAATATTATCTAATAGTTTTTATATCATATCATAATTTAGAATCCCTAAGGTTCAATTTAACGTAGATATCATATCATTACCATTAAAAATACGGCCGATATGATTTTTTGAAAATTTGGTGTTATTTTTGATGTATAATTTGACAATTTGTTTTTCAACAATTTTTTCCTGGAAATGTCTGTAATATTACCCAATAGTTTTTATATCACATCATAATATAGAATCATTAAAGTTCAATTTAACGTACATATCATATCATTATCATTAAAAATATTGCCGATATGATTTTATGAAAATTTCGTGTTATTTTTGATTTATAGTTTTACAATTTCTTCTTTAATAATTTTTTCCTGGAAATTTCAATAATATTATGTAATAGTTTTTATATCACACCATAATCTAGAATCCCTAAGGTTTAATTTAACGTATATATCATATCATTATCATTAAAAATACGGTCGATATGATTTTATGAAAATTTCGTGTTATTTTTGATTTATAGTTTTACAATTTCTTCTCTAATAGTTTTTTCCTGGAAATTTCAATAATATTATCATACATATAATTTTTATATAACATAAACTAGAATCTTTAAGCTTCAATTTAACATACATATCATATTATATTTCTTAAAAATACGGCTGATTTGATCTTTTGGGAGTAAAAAAAAATAACGATAATGAAATAACTGTAGAAAAAAAATTTTAAAAACAGTGGGCCCAAAACAATTGCTGACTTTTCAGCAGACTATACAGATATCTTCTGTATGTATAATATATAGTCTGCTAAAAAGTTTTTTTTTATTTAGTTCTAATACTCCCTTTGTTAAAGGGGTTTTTCGCTCATTACTTAACTTTTATTATTTTTCTTCAGATTCCACACTTTTTAACGACGCCATTCGTGATTTATTTTTCATCCTTATTTTGTTTATCCATCAAATAGCAAAATTTACTTTTACATAATTTCCAGTCTACACCTTTCATAGCTTCATTGACTGTAAGTATTTTTTGAAAATTTGTTTCACTTTTCATTTTTCCTCGTGGTTAGTTTTCTTTTACGTACAAAAATTTTTCAATTTAATTGTCTTCTGCCTCTAAATTTAAATAAATCTATTACAAAAATTTAATCTAATTCTTATTTTAAGACTTTTTGTGTTTATTTGTTAACTTTTTTAAACTTTTAGATTTATATGTCTCTTCTTTTAACTTCTAATTTTTAACATTAAGTCACTAAGTCACCTTCTTCGAGATTAACATTATTTAACTTTATATACCAACTTGTTTTGAATGTTACCTCATGATTTGTACTGATTATAGTTGTCGCTGATGATTGGGTAACCCGAAACTAGTACGACTATATATAAATAAATGCAAGTTAGAAGTTAATGTATGGTTTTTATTTAAATCA